GAAAGGTGAGCACTGATCACAAAATCAAAAAGCGACTGTAAGGAACCACTCGAAAAGTACCCACTTGACTTTGATCATTGTCAATTGTCCGTCCGGGTGATCAAGCGAGGAGTCGCGCTTAAGCTGTAGAGTAAGAGGTTTGAAGCAATGCTCCATATGTTGACTTCCAATATGGAACGACAATATGCGTCAGCTCTTGCTGAAAATTTTAAGAATGTCCCTAAAGCAAACTCGCTTTGGAAAGCCGCTAATTAGGGCCAGGTCAAGTCGAGAAGTTCGCTCTCTGAGATTAATGCTGCCGGTTTTTTGATCAGTTTCAACCGTTCAGATCGTTTCATTATCGTACTTAATTGTGTATATTGGTGCTATGTCTATGTTTGTATTTTTTTATATATGCGATTGCAGTATGCCGTGGCTCACCAGCGGTCGTCCTCCTAACAATCAAAAACGACGTATCGATCTTGTTCGGGGCGCTTGCCGCATTTCCCAGGCACACGACATCCTACGCCCGAGGCATCACGGGTTCCTAACTAGTGGAAGGGGGTTTGGATACAACAACCCGCGCGGGTTAGAGCCGCGGGTTGTTGTAGCCTCGGCCAAAACTTCCCCAGCCCGGAGGCCGAGGGCTCTGGTCTCGGCTACGATCCCACAACAACAGCACAGAGAATAAGAGTCAAACCCAAGCCATGGCGCCACCCCCCCCCCCCCTCATGCAAAGCCCACAACAACAACACGCTTGGCTAACTCAGGTCTATTGGCGGCAATAACTTTCACGTCCTACTCCTACTCTTCAGGGTTTGGAAATGTTAGGTGCCAATGGCACTTGGCTCCTTCTTTCGCGATGCGATGTGCATACTGCCAGAGGAGGCTCGACTGATAGCCTGGGCTAGAGTCGGAGCATGCCCCTAAAACCGTTGCATGTCGTGCGACCGCGATCAAGGTGCGGCAGGGCCGTACCACGACACAGCTGCATTTCGTGCTGGCACGAGTCAGCTATAAATGCCGGCGGAGCAGGTTAGTTTGGACAGCTCGTCTAGCCACAGCCCCTCCTTGTTTCGAAGAGGGAGAGAAGAAATCTTTGTTTAAGAACTTCATCGGCGGTTTCTTCAGTTTCTCCCTCAATATGCAGTCAAGTTGGCATCCACATTTTCATTATCGAGCGCTTTTACCCCATCGATCCAGAGGTGCTGCTTAATGGGTTTTGAATAGAGTGGCGAGCGGCTAAAATCGTTGTGGCTATGTATGTGAGTAACCTTAAATGCAGATTAGACACGAGTCTCAGAGTCTCGACTTTTGCAATAACGGCCCCGTCCTAGGATTTAGCCCTACGAGGCTGTGAGGGTCTACCTCAAGAGTTGGTGTGTGGCTATCTTGGGAAGTGAAATCAGCTGTAATGGTTGCAGCACCAACAGCTAACGCGGGAGAAAGCGGGAAGTAGCAATGGCTCACAGGTCCGAGAAACTCGTTATGAGATGCCTTCCTATCAATACAGCCTCCTCGGCTGGTGTCAATGGGAGAGGGAGTTCATATTTGATTCTGTTGACGCTTTCTTTCCGTTTTTCCTGCTGTTCAATTCTGCATACCTGCACTCACTTTCAAATCGTACCCCAACTCAATCCCGAGCCGTGTGTTTTTAAGGAAATATATGAAATTACTTTAATTAATTCAATGAAGTTTGCAATTTTGATGATTAAAATAAATTTCTATTGTTATATATTATGTGGGGTAGAACAAAGAGTAGTCTAGTTTCCGTTTCGCACGTGCCCTTAGACGGAAACTAGACGAAATAGTGTGTCCTCCCTTAGTGCTCATCAGTAAGGGGAAGGAGGAGTAAGGATTAGAGTGCGTATTATAATAATTTTATATATGGATATTATTAACTAACTTATGTTTATGTTTTTCAAATGTAGACGACCAATTATTAGAGTTGAAGATGAATTTCTTTGAGTATGCTCGAAAGAGATTCGGAGCCCAAACACCTCACCCCTCACTGGAACAGCGCTTTCCCTGAAAAAATTCTAGAACTACAGAGGCGTCAAGCACATTGCGTATAGTGATTTTTTGGGAGAAAAATCCTCGCAACGATTTAATTTGCTTGAAATGGGCGACGCCTTACAGGCCATTAGTAGTTCAGTACCTGGTCGCCCTTGAGGAATGATTGGGTCAGGGAGTGGAAGGCGCGGCCAACTCACAACTGGTGGAATGGATGCTGAATAAAGGCGAGCGCCTGGTATTGGCCAGTTGCCAAGATGACCATCAGTTGAGAAAGCAGAAACTCGAGGAATCGAAATCTAAACAAAAATTCTAGAGCAATCGCGTTTTACTGTACGAAAACACACAACAAATAATACTGGTGCACAATAGTACGTTAATCGCTTGCTAAACGGCAAGCACACTCCTCACAAGATTTCACGAACACGAATAACTGCATCACCCAGCATTTGGGCCTGTCGGTTTTTCCACCTCTTATTTCGTCTGTCAACTAGTAAAGGAATTTTCCACGAACAGACCCGCATTCTAACTCATCCATTAATCACTGGCTTGAGACCTGTTGTTCACGATAAGGACGAAAAGAACATAAAAATTACGTTTGTTTTTCAAAAATTTCGAAAACCTGGAAAGACTGTTACGCGTTCAAACTCTCGCCTACATCTGCTACAAATGTTGATGATCTGCTGCAAATGCTGGTGGCGGAACCGCTTCTATCGGCATTTCGTCACTAGGAACTCTTTTTGATTTATTGCGCTAACATCTCACCCTTCTACTGCATCCTATTCTATCGAACGTTTTTCTTCATTCTAAAAATTCCAACGTTTTTTCAACTCCAATGCGTTGCCTGATACGTAATCACCTCACGGCGCTCTTCTTCCCATGCGGCGTCCTTTGCTCCGCGCGACTTTTTCGACTGTCCACAGAGTGTGGTTTTGGTAAAGTGGTGTTTCTTCGGAAACTGAATCTTCCTGCGTGAAACTTTGTACGCTGTCTTCAGATAAATTTTCCGGAGAGGATTCCCAAAACTCTCTTCTCCGGTTTCCGTTTTCGTGGAAGACAGAAGCTTCTAATTCCTCAGAGAGATCTTCTATGAGGCAGAATGAAGCGAAAAGGAGACGGAAGAAGATGAACGAGCAGTAATAAAAATTTTACAGACGTCAAGAACTTCCTATCACTTTTCCGATTCTACCTGGTATATTTCCTTCCTTGGCATGAAAGCTTTGGACCAATGTTTTCATAACAAGTGCGCCTAAACATAGCTTTGCTAGATACTCGAGCAACAACCCTTATGGGATCGATGGGAGCTGATGGTTTCACTTCATTGCCCATATAACGGCACTTGCGGTATAGGTTCGGTAATCCTTACGAATAAGACGATTTTGCGTTTCTTTGGTATAACATGATTCAGAATGAGTGTTTCCACAATCTGAAAGCGTAACCCAACTCAGCTCGCCGAATGCCATGAGAAACGTTAAACTTTCGAAATAACTTACCAACTTCAAGTTTCATACCGAGAGCAAAACGAATGCATATGATGCGTATCTGATCACTCTTACACAAGCTGATCGGTCTATAGGAAGAATACGTTCATTATTCGCTCCAGAATACGCAACGTGCTCGTCTTTCCCAGCACATTGTGGAATTAGCGAATCAGCTACTTTTTTTTCTGAATTTCGGAACTTCCTTTTTATGTTGAAGCGCAGAATGGCAGGCGTATAGCCTGTGCAGCAGAAGCAGTAGCAAGTCATACTGAAGTAGCTTTAAAGTCCAAAAAATTTGATAGGGGCGTGCCGCGACAAATCACCAATTTGGAAGGTCGTTCCTCAATTTCTAGCTTGTTTTATGTGATGTAAGCGACTCGCCTTTCTACTGATTTGCAGTACAATGAAGAACGGATTTTCCCTACAGCAACGAAGCTTTGCTGAATAGCTCGACGGCGATCAAGCTCTACAAACTTTGCAAAACTTAAACTGTGCTGAAGGAGGGTTATGGCAACTTTCATCAGGTCAGCGGCTGGCCAAGTTCTTCCGTATCAGGTGGAACTGTTACAGTGGAGGAGAACTCTTAACATTATGTCAAAATTCACCAAAAACTTCAAACATGGGTCCAGCATTCCTCATTATAAAGGGACGGACACATCCCTGAAAGGTGTCTTGGACGCACATCGCACCGCCAACCCTTCACAAGTTGGACCAGCTGGGCTTCAGAGTGATTCTGCGAACATCTTACTCAGTAGACCTTTGGTCTATCTACTGTCACATTTCTGACGATCTCGATAGCTTCCTTGAAGAGAAATGCTTCAAAACCCAACATGATGCTAAAACGACCTTCCCTCAGTTCATCGCCTCCAGAGCTCCAGCATTCTAAACAAACGTACCCAGTAAGAACGGCGACCTTATAGCGAGAAGGTTCGCGCAATTCGAACGGCTTTTAATTAGCTTGAAAGGTTTGGTACAGAGAGAGCAGGGTAGCCGAGATACATGCATTTGAAATTCGAGATCGAAAAACGATAGGACTTTCTGAAGATCGTCACTGTCGACAGGAGGCGGCTGGGGCCGTAAAATAAAGTGGTACGTACGCAGCCACACACTTTCAATTGCACCTCGCGCGCAACCACAAAACGTGCACCTCAAAAGGGTTAGTGCTTGAAGTGAGCAGTTTTAAGTTTGATTCTGGACATAAGAGAATACAGACTGAGTAACCACGCTTCTCTTCCACCTGAAAATTGATATGCTTTTGGTTGTGATGACTATTCAATAACATATATTGTATTACCTTTCAATGCCACATTCTCCGTTCTATTATTTTGCCGGAGTGGAAGAGCAGACCACCCATTACAGCCACTTCAAAAAAGGTGTAAAATGGCAGAAAATCCAAAATGTTTGAAATCGACGCTGTTAATGGAACATTCGTCCAGTATCGATTCAATGGCCGGTGTCAGACTGCGAATTCGTGGAGTCGCTAACAATTAGGCATTTTGCTAGCAAATGGAGCCATGCGAGCCATGCCATGCGCCAGCGAATCAGCGAGTAACCATAACTAGCGACTAGCTCGCTGGTGCGTCGTTCGAACGGTGGCGCATTGCTCGTACTGCTCGGATTGGAGTAAACCATGGAGTCGCTAGCAATCTTAGGATTCAAAGTCTGACACCGGTCTAAGGGCATGTGAATGCTACCTACTGTTGGAGTGAATATTGTGTCGGAACAAGTACGTTGGAAGCACGTATGATGAGGGTGATGATGAGATAAAGCGAGCTTCAGCGCAACAGCAGTCCAATGTTCACGTAGGGAGTTTTGTTTAAAGCATAGTATAGAGAAACATTAAAATTTATTCCAGAATTTTCGAACTCGGATCCCTCTTCTCCTCTAAGGCTTAGTCCCAAATTGAACGTTTCCATATCAATGATGCATTTTAGGGACTGCTCTACCAACCTCCGAGGTACATTGCGCCGACAGTTAAACTGGGAATAAGTACTAAACCATTCATATGTGGTTATTTTAAGGGCTAATTAATCCACACGTTCATAGCATATTGTTACAAATACGGTTAACATTTTTCGGTATTCTAATCTAAACAAAGCATGTCTTGTTACGAACAAATAGTATCGAATATTTTCAATCAGCCAAAAAGCCTCTGTCCTAAAGTCCTGAAGCAATATTTTTGTGCGCGCGTACTGTGTAAATAAATAAATAAATCAATAAAAATATTCTTGGCAAACTGGTGGTGGTGATGTCCGTTCCTCCAAGTGGTGCCACTGGGAAACTGCTCACTTTTGTGAGCTGAACACGGACATTCGAATGCAGGCGACAGGCCCCCGTGACAGGCCGGCCTACGAACACCCACGTCACATCACAAATGTCATGTCGCTATATGAATCTCGAGATAATGCTACGGCGTCCGCGGGAGCCGACGCGCACTCGCAAAGCCCGGCGAGTGTGAAAAGTATGCGAGGGTCTCCGGTGCAAGGACGGCATCGGGGGGCAACTAGGCTAGTCCAAAAGTCCGCAACGTATGGAAGACTCGCGTTGCGACGTTAAATGTTGGCACGTTAACGGGCCGCTCGTACGAGTTAGCAGAAGCTCTAGAGCGCCGACGAATTGATTTCTGTGCCGTGCAGGAAACGAGGTGGTCCTGCTGCAAGTCGAGGGACATTGGCCGCGGCTTCAAAGCCGTTCTCTGTGGCGGTCCCAAAACCACCAATGGCGTCGGGATGATTGTCTCTGAACGCTTCCGTGATTCGATAGTAAGCGTGGAGCGCTTCGACGACCGCTTAATGAAGATCATTGTCGTCATCGAACATCAAAAATACCACTTCTTCTCTGCGTACGCTCCGCAGACTGGATGCTCCGAGCAAGCCAAGGACAAGTTCTGGAACCTGCTTGATGAGAAGACAGCTGAGGTACCGTCACAAGAAGCCATAATTGTCGCAGGTGACCTCAATGGTCACGTGGGCGCTACGAAAGACGGTTATAGCTGTCATGGTGGTTTTGGATATGGGTCACGTAATACTGATGGCGAGCGAATTCTTGAATATGCAGACTCGCATAACCTCGCCATTGTAAACACGAAATTCCGAAAACGTGACTCACATCTTATTCTATAGCGGTAAAACCAGAACACAAATTGATTTCGTCCTTGTCAGGCACCGCGATCAAGGGCTCGTAACAGACGCGAAAAGTAGTACCTTATGAAACGGTCGTCACACAACACCGACCACTGATTTGCACGCTAAAGATCGCCCCGCCGAAACCGAAACTAGCCGAAAGGTGTGGGCCAGCGAGAATCAAGTGGTGGCGACTGAAGGAAAAAGAAGCGGCCGTCGTTTCCCGCATTCGATTACCAGCGGTAACGACTGTCGACGAAACTTGGAAAGGTGCTGCCGAAGAAATAACTCGGATAGCTCGATCCGAGCTCGGCATGACGAAGCCTGGACGGCGGAGAATTGACAAGCAAACGTGGCTGTGGACGGACCAGGTCAGAGAGAAAGTGCGCGAGAAGAAGAAGCGGTACCACGCTTTTCTTAACGAAAAGACAGCTGATAACTGGCGGAGCTATCAGATAGCGAAGAAAGAGGCAAAGAAGGCCGTTGCTTCCGCGAAAGCAGCTCATTTTGCTGATGTCAACGAAAAACTCGAGTCGCGCGATGGAGAGCGGTACGTTTACCGACTCGCAAAGACCCGCCATCGCCAGACCGAGGATATAGAAAAGTTCTTTGGCATAAATGACGAGAATGGCCACCTTTTGACGGACCGCAAGAAAACATTGAAGCGATGGCACGACTACTTCGAAAACATCTCAA